ATCCTTCCCAAATTTATCAAGGATACTAAGCAGCTGTTTCGAATTTTAACTTTACTTGTAAGAGATTTTATTGTTGCCTAGATATTGTCTTTGCTTAATATTGTTTTTCTTTCTCATATACATACCTTTTAATGAACAAGTTTTCTATTGGATTAATATCTAGAGAGGCTGAAGCCATTCCACTAATAATATATGTTTTTAAAATTTTGAGGGGAATATCGGCAAAGATTAGTTTTGAAGAATATGAAGAAGCTATACTTAAAGCGTTTTAGTTTGTACATACGATCAATTGCTAAGGATGCAGGTAAAATGATCAGCTCTCTGTACCGCTTCAGTAAGTACCTGACTCCTCATGCTATCCTCTATCTTTACAAGAGCCAGATCAGGACAAAAATGGAGTACTGTTGTTATATTTGTGTTGGAGTTTCCCAGACCTCACCCAAAAGCGTCTTTGTGTGTGACGAATTATTTTGCACACTCCAATCTCTCCTCCACAGGCGGGGATGATAGCATACCTGTTGTTTTTCTATCTCTACTTGCATGGAAAGTGCTCGGACGAACTACATTCCCTGGTCCCAATATTCACGGCAAGGACACGCCATACCACTTACATAGTAGCAAACACCCACATTCCCCTTCAGTATTCCATTGGTGAGAAGTTCTACTCTAATGTATTCTTCCTGTGAATCACTGTTCTGTATAACTGGCTCCCAAGAGGATGTTTCCCCGATTTCTACAATCTTAACCTGTTCAAGCCTAGGGTCAACCATTATCTTCCACTTCTAACGTAACTCTCTTTCTGTAAAACAAAATGTACAAGCAAAAAAATTATTCACTATTTACATTATTCGGACTTTTGTCCTTATCTGTGCTGCCATATTTATCAGAACGTTTCGGCCGTTGAACGCTCCGGCCTTCTTCAGGGGTTGGAATGTCGAACTGAACCCTTTATTTCGCTCACTGGGGTAGACTGTTCTAGTTCCACGTGCCATGTCTAATGGAAGTCAATTATCAATTATCTCCTGTTAATTCCCATCTCCAAGTTCTCCACCGCCTTAACCAGGTTTTGAACTCATACTCTTTGGGTTCTGTCACTGGATCTAACTAACGCTTTTATCCACTGTAGACAGATACAAAAAAATTGTCTAAGAATTTGTACTAATTCCTTTCATTTATCTGCACACCACCAACGAATATGCGCGTTCCAACCATGTGAGATTGGTTTGAACCCCACAAGGACTAATATGTCTGATAGGTAATTTTTTGCTAATACTGAACAAGAACATGATCTCAACATGTGGCACAGTTGAAAAGTTCCTATAACAACCATCCATCGGGTTTATCCAAACTATGTGAATGAAACTGGTTAAACGTAACTGTTCAGAAGCTGGCGATAGTTGTAATAGCACGAATTAACAAGTCATCGTGACCGAGGGTTTGATTGTACTGGTCTTGTTCAAACACTGATCACGCCAGATGATGTGCTCTCTCCAAGAAACCGTAACTTAAGTTCTGATCAGCATAGCTGCAGTGTAAACCACAGTCTGGTTCTGTGGGTGTTCAGTAAAGACAAATGTGCCTGAGAATTCTTCTGCAACAGGGATTAACTAACCAATCTACAAGAAGGATAAACTTACAAACGACTAGTCAACCATTGTATATATATATATATATATATATATATGTGTGTGTGTGTGTGTGTGTGTGTGTGTGTGTGTGTGTGCGCGCGTGTGTGGAAACATGCTTAAACTCTCATGTAAAATGCATGGGGATACATGCATAAAAGATAGATAGATAGATAGATAGATAGATAGATAGATAGATAGATAGATAGATAGATATGAACAAAATGAGATAGATATGAACAGACTGAGATAGATAGATAGATAGATAGATAGATAGATAGATAGATAGATATGAACAGAATGAGATAGATAGATAGATAGATAGATAGATAGATAGATATGAACAGAATGAGATAGATATGAACAGACTGAGATAGATAGATAGATAGATAGATAGATAGATAGATAGATAGATAGATCGTATTACTTTCTTTTTTTATTATTTTTCATAACGACAATATATATTGCTTAATGCGTATCTGTAGATGCATTTTGAAGAAATCAACTTCAACATCCTATGAAGAACAAACACGCAAACAATGACCTGCAAAACTGGCACTCCAACCATCCCTTATGCGACAGGCACGTGTCCGTCAGCATATGTGTTTATAGGTATGTCTGCACCAGTATAATTAGATATATCCTGTCAACTGACTGGAATGGTATCATCTGTTGTAAGTGTTGAAAATAGCCTCGTGTATAGAATGGGAGTCATGTAGTTGAACAAGCTTAAGTGGAGTCTCTTAACGAGATGAAAAAGAAAAAAAACAATTTCTAAGCTAGCTGAAGGACAATATCAAAACTGTTTCACACTTCCCTAACATTTGCTATGAAACCCAAAAGCAAATATTTAGTGGAATCTTGATTTTAAAGTCATGCTTCCAGAATACGGTTTCAAAAGTACTTCTTAAACAATATTACATAGTTATTAATTAAATATATAATAAAAAACATAAATATATACATTTTTTAAACTGTTCATTATTCTGTATTTGTATATTGAAAAATTTTACGAAATATTATACGACTATAGAATATAATATGTAATTGATGACGTATGACTAATTAAAAACCTCTATTCCATGATATAAAACACATCACGACTTTATTATATATAATTTTATTCAGACGAATATACAATAGAATAAATGATATATATGAATGTTTATACGATGAAAATTGTCCCGATATAAGAAAGAAATAATTGCTGAAGAATTAACAGTATAGTGAAATTTCTAATTTGATTAAATTAAATATGTGACAAATTATTTAACAAAGGATGGAAAATGCGACACCGAATTCCGAACACGCATTGGGTTAGTTAAATAATCATTCCAAAAGATAATGAGGAAGGAGTGCTTGGAAAACTTAATCCTCACGGGGCATATGGAGGGAAAGAGAGATAGTGAAAGGCAACGAGCCACTTAGCTGACGAGCTTTTGTAAATTGATAGCAGAAACAGGGGCGAGATCCTTAGCAAAAACAGTAAAACCGCTAAGACTACAAGGAATAGGAAGTTGTGGAGAGCCATATCAACCTATGTCATGAAATGAAGAAGGCGAAGAAGAATAACAACAGCTATATTCAAGAAGAAATTAAAAAGAAAAATAGCAGAAATGATCTCTAGTTGGCACTGCAATCAAAGGACATTTTACACGATACAGTAAGGAAATACTAATTATACGAGAAAAAAGCGACAAAAGAAACAACAGGAAAGATAGAGAAACAGGAAACACAAAAGCAGAATCCAAAAGGGTGAATTGTAGATGAATAAACATGGATATCACTAGACTAAGAAAACCTAAAAAGAGAAAATGAGCCACTCTTAATATAAATCTTGTGCAACGCTTATAAGAAGAGATTATATAACTGTTACGCGACAGAGGAGAATAACAAATAGGACTGATAAGAATCGACAATAAAAGGCTATGATAAACACAGGAGAATAACAAATAGGACAGATAAGAATCGACAATACAAAAACTATAATAAACACAGGAGAATAACAAATAGGATAGATAAGAATCGACAATGCAAAGGCTATGATAAACACAGGAGAATAACGAATAGGACAGATAAGAATCGACAACACAAAGGCTATGATAAACACAGGAGAATAACAAATAGGACAGATAAGAATCGACAATACAAAAACTATAATAAACACAGGAGAATAACAAATAGGTTAGATAAGAATCGACAATACAAAGGCTATGATAAACACAGGAGAATAACGAATAGGACAGATAAGAATCGACAATACAAAGGCTATGATAAACACAGGAGAATAACAAATAGGACAGATAAGAATCGACAATACAAAAACTATAATAAACACAGGAGAATAACAAATAGGTTAGATAAGAATCGACAATACAAAGGCTATGATAAACACAGGAGAATAACGAATAGGACAGATAAGAATCGACAATACAAAGGCTATGATAAACACAGGAGAATAACAAATAGGACAGATAAGAATCGACAATACAAAAACTATAATAAACACAGGAGAATAACAAATAGGATAGATAAGAATCGACAATACAAAGGCTATGATAAACACAGGAGAATAACAAATAGAACAGATTAAAAGCCATTATACAAAGACTATGATAAACACAGGATAATAACAAATAGGACAGATAAGAATCGATTATACAAGGCTATGATAAACACAGGCGACTATAAATAGAACAGATAAGAATCGACTATACAAAGGCTATGATAAACACAAGAGAAAAACAAATATCATAGATAAGAATCAGTTATACAAAGACTATGATAAACACAGGAGAATAACAAATAAGACAGATAAGTATCGATTATAAAAAGGTTATGATAAATACAGGAGAATAACAAATAGGACAGATAAGAATTGACAAAACAAAAACTATGATAAACACAGGAGAATAACGAATAGAACAGATAAGAATCGATTATACGACGACTATGAGAAATGCACGAGAATAACAAACAGAACAGATAAGAATCGACTATACAAAGGCTATAATAAACACAGGAGAATAACAAATAGGACAGATAAGAATCGACAATACATAGTCTATGATAAACACAGGAGAATAACAAATAGGACAGATAAGAATCGACAATACATAGTCTATGATAAGCACAGGAGAATAAAAAATAGGATAGATAAGAAATTGACAATACAAAGGCTATAATAAACACAGGAGAATAACAAATAGGACAGATAAGAATCCACTATAAAAATAAGTAAAATAAGTGGCAAAATGCTTTATGGCAAATAAGGGAATATCGAGAGATATAAGAAAGTAAAAGCTAAACAAATTCTACATAGAATTTTTAAAAAATGAAAAAATATCAACATTAATAAGAGTAGAATGTTAGTTTATGGACCGCAAGTATGCAGAAAGCTTCACGCATGAGAGAAAACACTACAAAACTTCAGACGATAGATCAATCATCAGTACTCGCGTATAAGTAAAATAATATTTTAATAATGAACAGAAAAGTATAATCAAGTGAACAGTAGATAGCAATTGACAGTTGCATTTAAAGGGAGTGCGAGGAAAGAAACTGTTAGTATAGAATTTTACGGTTACTTTTAGCCAGCTCAAGTGTAAATTGGTGGTCTCTCGACGTCAGGATGGTCTAAAATTTTCCTAAAATAAAATATTGTAGAAAAAATATAAGAATAGAAATTTAATAAAAAAAAATAGAAATTTAATCAAGAAATATAATATATATTTTATTAATACACAACAACAACAACAACAACAACAAAACAGGAATCAGCAGAAGAAATCGAATTAGGATATTGAACAGGCAAGATCAACAGTTTGGATCAGATTCAGAAAAGCAAGAATCTGAACTAGAAGCATCAGTTCAACATGAACAGAAGGATATTTTCATTTGATAATGTGTAATATTACAAATACAGAAAGGTTAACAGGAACTGACATTACTCAGTTACCCAATAATGATATCTTCAGGAATTTTGAAAGAATACTAGTAAACGCGTGAATATAAGCGGTAGAGTAATGGATAGCGGATCGGATTGAGGAATCGGAGAGCCGAGTTCGAATACCAGTCGAAGCCATTACATTCACTGACGAGCTAATACCCTTGGGAAAGATGTCCTCTTCTTCTCCCCCACCACCTCTGGTTCTTGGTAAATAGCAGAACAGACCTGGTTCTATCGCCTTGCAGAAAGAAATGGAAAGTTATTGCACGAAAAAATCTGCCTTGTCAGTCATGTATCGAAAGATACATGATTGCATAAGCGTGTATCATGCATGGCACATAACTGACTGACTAGACTGGTAACTAGGTCTAATTATTTTATAGTTGAAATTGCTAGATGTAACCGTAAGTTCTATTTGCATATCTCGCCTGTAGAACTCATTTCCGGTTTATTGATTCCCTGCCATTTAGGATCTTAATACAACGTCAATCGCCATCTTCATTACCGCCCTTTCTCCTCATTAAAATATTTTCATTCTCTTTCGCTCTTCGTAACCCGAGGCATCTTAATGACATTACGACCTTTTTGGTGTGAAATGGTTAAAATTTCTTTAAAAAATTGGAAAGAATCTTTGATCCAAAATTTGCCGTGATTAGGTCAGGATTTCATTCAAAAGTTTTCTCAATCACATAGATATTCTGTCCTTCTTTCTTTCTTTCTTTCTTTCTTTCTTTCTTTCTTTTCATTATAATAATCATTCTGTCCAAAAGTATTTGGTAATTCATGATAACCCTAGTCTGTTATAGTCTTCTGGGTCACTTCGATATCTTTCTTTCTTTCTTTCTTTCTTTCTTTCTTTTCATTATAAATAATCATTCTATCTTTTGGTAATTCATGCTAACCTTCATATGTTATAGTCTTCTGCATCATATGAATATCTTTCTTTCTTTCTTTCTTTCTTTCTTTCTTTCTTTCATTCATTCATTTTCTTGCTAACCTTCATGTTATAGTCTTCTGTATCAATCTTTTCTTTCTTTCTTTTCTTTATTTCTTAATCAATTCACCATTCTGATCCAAAGTCTTTGGTAATTCATTAACCTTCATATGTTATAGTTTTCTGTATCACTTGAATTTCTTTCTTTCTTTCTTTTCTTTCTTTTCTTTTTTCTTTCATTATAATAATCATTCTATCCAAAGTTTTGGTAATTCATGCTAACCTTCATATGTTATAGTCTTCTGTATCACTTGAATATCTTTCTTTCTTTCTTTCTTTTTTCTTTCTTTCTTTTCATTTAATAATCATTTTCCAAAGTCTTTGGTTTCTTCATCCTTCTTCTGTATCATTTTCTTTCTTTCTTTCTTTCTTTTCTTTTTTCTTTTCATTATAATAATCATTCTGTCCAAAAGTCTTTTGGTAATTCATGCTAACCTTCATATGTTATAGTCTTCTGTATCACTTGAATATCTTTCTTTCTTTTTTCTTTCTTTCTTTCTTTCTTTTCTTTTTATAATTCATTCTGTCCAAAGTCCTTTGGTAATTCATGCTAACCTTCATTTCTTTGTATCAAGTCTTTCTTTCTTTATCTTTCTTTTCTTTCTTTCTTTCTTTCTTTCTTTTCATTATAATAATCATTCTGTCCAAAGTCTTTTGGTAATTCATGCTAACCTTCATATGTTATAGTCTTCTGTATCACTTGAATATCTTTCTTTCTTTCTTTCTTTCTTTCTTTCTTTTTTCTTTTCATTCTTTTCATTATAATAATCATTCTGTCCAAAAGTCTTTGGTAATTCATTCTTTTTTCTTCATATGTTATAGTCTTCTGTATCCACTTGAATTTCTTTCTTTCTTTCTTTCTTTCTTTTCATTATAATAATCATTCTATCAAAAGTCTTTTCTTCCTTTCCTTCATATGTTATAGTCTTCTGTATCTTCCTTTTTTCTTTCTTTCTTTCTTTCTTTCTTTCTTTTCTTTTTTCATTATTAATAATCATTCTGTCAAAAAGTCTTTTGGTAATTCATGCTAACCTTCATATGTTATAGTCTTCTGTATCACTTGAATATCTTTTTCTTTCTTTCTTTCTTTCTTTCTTTCTTTTCATTATAATAATCATTCTGTCAAAAGTCTTTGGTAATTCATGCTAACCTTCATATGTTTCTTCTTCCTTGAATACTTTTTCTTTCTTTCTTTCTTTTCTTTCTTTCTTTCTTTCTTTCATTATAATAATCATTCTGTCCAAAAGTCTTTGGTAATTCATATAACCTTCATATGTTATAGTCTTCTGTATCACTTAAATATCTTTTTCTTTCTTTCTTTTCTTTCTTTCTTTCTTTCTCATTATAATAATCATTCTTTCTTTCTTTGGTAATTCATAAACCTTCATATGTTATAGTCTTCTTATCTAATATCTTTCTTTTTCTTTCTTTTTTTTCTTTCTTTCTTTCTTTTTTTCATTTCTAATAATCATTCTATCCAAAAGTCTTTCCTAATTCATCCTTCTTCCTTCCTTCTGTCCTTCCTTTCTTTCTTTTTTCTTTCTTTCTTTCTTTCTTTTCATTATAATAATCATTCTGTCCAAAAGTCTTTGGTAATTCATGCTAACCTTCATATGTTATAGTCTTCTGTATCACTTGAATATCTTTCTTTTCTTTCTTTCTTTCTTTCTTTTTTCTTTCTTTCTTTTTTTCATTATAATAATCATTCTGTCAAAAGTCTTTTGGTAATTCATGCTAACCTTCATATGTTATAGTCTTCTGTATCATTTGAATATCTTTCTTTCTTTTCTTTCTTTCTTTCTTTCTTTCTTTTCATTATAATAATCATTCTATCAAAGTCTTTGGTAATTCATTCTTCATATGTTATAGTCTTCTGTTCACTTTATCTTTCTTTCTTTCTTTCTTTCTTTTCATTCTTTCTTTCATTTCTTATAAAATCATTTGTCAAAAGTCTTTCATTCATACTAACCTTCATATGTTATAGTCTTCTGTATCAGAATATCTTTCTTTCTTTCTTTCTTTCTTTTTTTTTCTTTCTTTCTTTCATTATAATAATCATTCTATCCAATCTTTGGTAATTCATTTAACCTTCATATGTTATAGTCTTCTGTATCAACCTTTCTTTCTTTCTTTCTTTTCTTTTTTCTTTTTCTTTCTTTTTTCATTATAATAATCATTCTGTCAAAAGTCTTTGGTAATTCATTTCTTCCTTCATATGTTCCTTCTGTATCTTCCTTCCTTTCTTTTCTTTCTTTCTTTCTTTTCTTTCTTTCTTTCTTTTCATTATAATAATCATTCTGTCCAAAAGTCTTTGGTAATTCATGCTAACCTTCATATGTTATAGTCTTCTGTATCACTTGAATATCTTTCTTTCTTTCTTTCTTTCTTTCTTTCTTTCTTTCTTTCTTTCTTTTCATTATAATAATCATTCTATCCTTTCTTTGGTAATTCATTTCCTTCATATGTTATAGTCTTCTGTCCTTTTTTCTTTCTTTCTTTCTTTTTCTTCTTTCTTTCTTTCTTTTCATTATAATAATCATTCTTCAAAAGTCTTTGGTAATTCATACTAACCTTCATATTTATAGTCTTCTGTTCTCTTGAATATCTTTCTTTCTTTCTTTCTTTCTTTTCTTTCTTTCTTTTTTTCATTATAATAATCATTCTTTTTGGTAATTCATTAACCTTCATATGTTATAGTCTTCTGTATCACTTGAATATCTTCTTTTTTTTCTTTCTTTCTTTCTTTCTTTTCTTTCTTTTCCTTCTTTCTTTCTTTTTTTTCATTATAATAATCATTCTGTCCAAAAGTCTTTGGTAATTCATGCTAACCTTCATATGTTATAGTCTTCTGTATCACTTGAATATCTTTCTTTCTTTCTTTCTTTCTTTTCTTTCTTTCTTTTTTCATTATAATAATCATTCTGTCCAAAAGTCTTTGGTAATTCATGCTAACCTTCATATGTTATAGTCTTCTGTATCATTTGAATATCTTTCTTTCTTTCTTTCTTTCTTTCTTTCTTTCTTTCTTTTCTTTATCATTATAATAATCATTCTGTCAAAAGTCTTTGGTAATTCATGCTAACCTTCATATTTATAGTCTTCCTTCCTTGAATATCTTCTTTTTTCTTTCTTTCTTTCTTTCTTTCTTTTCATTATAATAATCATTCTGTCCAAAAGTCTTTGGTAATTCATGCTAACCTTCATATGTTATAGTCTTCTGTATCACTTGAATACCTTTCTTTCTTTCTTTCTTTCTTTCTTTCTTTCTTTCTTTTCTTTTCATTATAATTCTATTCTTTGGTAATTCATGCTAACCTTCATATCCTTCTGTATCACTTGAATATCTTTCTTTCTTTTTCTTTCTTTCTTTCTTTCTTTCTTTTCATTATAATAATCATTCTGTCCAAAAGTCTTTGGTAATTCATGCTAACCTTCATATGTTTCTGTAGTCTTCTGTATCCTTTGGTAATTCCTTCCTTTCTCCATTCCTTTTTCTTTCTCTTTCTTTCTTTTTTCTTTCTTTCTTTCTTTCTTTCTTTCTTTTTTCATTATAATAATCATTCTGTCCAAAAGTCTTTGGTAATTCATGCTAACCTTCATATGTTATAGTCTTCTGTATCAATATCTTGAATATTTTCTTTCTTTCTTTCTTTCTTTCTTTCTTTCTTTCTTTTTTCATTATAATAATCATTCTGTCAAAAGTCTTTTGGTAATTCATTCGTACTAACCTTCATTCTTCTGTATCCAATACCTTTCTTTCTTTTCTTTCTTTCTTTCTTTCATTATAATAATCATTCTGTCCAAAAAAGTCTTTGGTAATTCATGCTAACCTTCATATGTTATAGTCTTCTGTATTTTCTTTCTTTCTTTCTTTCTTTCTTTCTTTTTCTTTCTTTTCATTATAATAATCATTCTGTCAAAAGTCTTTGGTAATTCATGCTAACCTTCATATGTTATAGTCTTCTGTATCATTTCCTATCTTTCTTTCTTTCTTTCTTTCTTTCTTTTTCTTTCTTTCTTTCTTTCTTTCTTTTCATTATAATAATCATTCTGTCAAAAGTCTTTGGTAATTCATGCTAACCTTCATATGTTATAGTCTTCTGTATCCTTGAATATCTTTCTTTCTTTCTCCTTTTTCTTTCTTTCTTTTCTTTCTTTCTTTTTTCTTTTTTCTTTCTTTCTTTTTCATTATAATAATCATTCTGTCCAAAAGTCTTTTCATATAATTCATGCTAACCTTCATTCTGTTATAGTCTTCTGTATCATTCTATCCCTATATTCTTTCTTTCTTTTTCTTTTCTTTCTTTTTCTTTCTTTCTTTCTTTTCATTATAATAATCATTCTGTCCAAAAGTCTTTGGTAATTCATGCTAAATTCATATTTATAGTCTTCTGTATCACTTGAATATCTTTCTTTCTTTCTTTCTTTCTTTCTTTCTTTCTTTTTTCTTTTCATTATAATAATCATTCTATCCAAAAGTCTTTGGTAATTCATGCTTTTCATATGTTATAGTCTTCTGTATCCTTGAATCTTTCTTTCTTTCTTTCTTTCTTTCTTTCTTTCTTTCTTTTCATTATAATAATCATTCTATCCAAAAGTCTTTGGTAATTCATTTCTAACCTTCATATGTTATAGTCTTCTGTATCACTTGAATATCTTTCTTTCTTTTCTTTCTTTTCTTTCTTTCTTTCTTTCTTTTCTTTTCATTATAATAATCATTCTGTCCAAAAGTCTTTGGTAATTCATGCTAACCTTCATATGTTTCTATAGTCTTCTGTATCACTTGAATATCTTTCTTTCTTTCTTTCTTTCTTTCTTTCTTTCTTTCTTTCTTTTCATTATAATAATCATTCTGTCCAAAAGTCTTTGGTAATTCATTAACCTTCATATGTTATAGTCTTCTGTATCACTTGAATATCTTTCTTTCTTTCTTTTTCTTTCTTTCTTTCTTTTTTTCATTAAATAATCATTCTGTCCAAAAGTCTTTGGTAATTCATGCTAACCTTCATATGTTATAGTCTTCTGTATCACTTGAATATCTTTCTTTCTTTCTTTCTTTCTTTTCTTTCTTTCTTTCTTTCTTTCTTTTTTCATTATAATAATCATTCTGTCCAAAAGTCTTTGGTAATTCATGCTTCATATGTTAACCTTCATATGTTGTATAGTCTTCTGTATCAATTGAATATCTTTCTTTCTTTTCTTTCTTTCTTTCTTTTTTCTTTCTTTCTTTCTTTTCATTAATCATTCTGTCCAAAAGTCTTTGGTAATTCATGCTAACCTTCATATGTTATAGTCTTCTGTATCACTTGAATATCTTTCTTTCCTTTCTTTTCTTTCTTTCTTTCTTTTCTTTTCTTAATTCTTTCTTTTCATTATAATAATCATTCTATCCAAAAGTCTTTGGTTTCTCATGCTAACCTTCATTTGTTATAGTCTTCTGTATCAAAAGTCTTGAATATCTTTCTTTCTTTCTTTCTTTCTTTCTTTTCTTTCTTTCTTTCTTTTCATTATAATAATCATTCTGTCAAAAGTCTTTGGTAATTCATGCTAACCTTCATATGTTATAGTCTTCTGTATCACTTGAATATCTTTCTTTCTTTCTTTCCTTTCTTTCTTTTCTTTCTTTTTTTCATTATAATAATCATTCTATCAAAAGTCTTTGGTAATTCATTCTAACCTTCATATGTTATAGTCTTCTGTATCACTTGAATATCTTTCTTTCTTTCTTTCTTTCTTTCTTTCTTTCTTTCTTTCTTTTTCATTATAATAATCATTCTATCCAAAGTCTTTGGTAATTCATTTCTTTCATTGTTATAGTCTTCTGTATCACTTTATCTTTCTTTTTCTTTCTTTTTTCTTTCTTTCTTTCTTTCTTTCTTTCTTTTCATTATAATAATCATTCTGTCCAAAAGTCTTTGGTAATTCATGCTAACCTTCATATGTTATAGTCTTCTGTATCACTTGAATATCTTTCTTTCTTTCTTTTCTTTCTTTTTAATAATCTTTCTTTCTTTTCTTTCTTTCTTTCTTTCTTTTTCATTATAATAATCATTCTATCAAAAGTCTTTGGTAATTCATGCTAACCTTCATATGTTATTTTATCTTTCTTTCTTTCTTTCTTTCTTTCTTTCTTTCTTTTTTTTTTCATTATAATAATCATTCTGTCCAAAAGTCTTTGGTAATTCATGCTAACCTTCATATGTTATAGTCTTCTGTATCACTTGAATATCTTTTCTTTCTTTCTTTCTTTCTTTCTTTTCTTTCTTCTTTTCTTTCTTTCAATCTTTCTGTCCAAA